TTCACCCGCGTGCCTGCAGGTGTCGCAGGCGGCGGCGGAGCTCCTGGCCTTCTGCGAGACGCACGCCAAGGACGACCCGCTGGTGACGCCGGTCCCCGCCGCGGAGAACCCCTTCCGCGACAAGCGCCTTTTCTGCGTCCTGCTCTGAGCCTTCCCGACCGCGTGCCCTCCCTCGCTAAAGTTTGAATCCAATAAACGTGGTGACCGGTGGTCCCCGAGGCACGCGCAGAGCCTGGAGCCACCGCGGGGGAATCTGTGTGTCCCTTCTCACATCTTGAGTGTGTGTGGAGTGGGGGGGGTTGCGGGTGAGGACATGCGGGGTGTGTGGATGCGGAGGGCGGGCGTATCGGAGGCACTCCGCAGTCCTGAATATATTTAATAGGCCCAACAGTCCCACAGGCAGCTGGCTACTTGTATAATAGCTTTTTTACAGATGAGGAACCGGAGCCAAAGGAGGCCCCAGCTAGGAGGTAATGGGGTGAAGATTGTAAGGGGGCTCCAGCGCCCCCTTAACCCCTCAGCTGGCCCTGCTCCTCTCCTCCCTCTTGGGCTGGAGATTCTAAGTAGTCCCTTTGCCCAGCCCACTTTTCTCATCCCTGAATGATTTCACCCCTTTTTTTCACATTCGGCTACTTCCTGCCACAGGCCTACCTCTGTCCTGTCCTTAAGCACTGAACTCTGTTCATTCATTCACTTATTCGTTCATTCTTCCAAACACTCCCTGAGTACCTGCTCTGTGACTGGCCCTGTGCTGGGGGAAGCTGAGGACATGCCTGTGACTGAGACAACCTGGCCCTGCCCTCCTGGGACTTAGAATCCAGTGGGAGAGACAGACCTGTCCCCAGATAGTGACAACCCAGAGTAGGCAGGACTGGGGTGGGGGAGCTCATAGGGAGCACCTGACTCAACTTGGGGTCAGGGAGGGCTTCCTGGAGGAGGAAGCTGGGACGTGGTGGTAATAAAACTTGGGACCCAGAGAAGAGAGGAGGTGAATTAATGTGTACATTCCTTCCTTCAAATTATTTTCTTTGTTCTGGGTACACAAGGATGACTGTTACAGCTCTGGTCTCTGCTCAGTGTTTCCCACCTCACATATTGGTGGCCTGCAGGACATTTATAGGCTGCAGTTATATTTCTTTGGTTTTCTACTTTTGGCCTACATAATGTTTAAAATGTTCTTGCCCTGACCGGCGTGGCTCAGTTGTTTGGGCGTCATTCCGTGCACCAAAAGGTTGCCGGTTAGATTCCCAGTCAGGGCACAGGCCCAGGTTTCCGGCTTGATCCCCGGTGGGAGGCGTGTGGGAGGCAGTTTTGCTCTCACATCGATGTTTCTGTCTCTCTCTCCCTTTCCCTTCCTCTCTCTTTAAAAAATAAATAAATAAATAAATAAATAAATAAATAAATAAATAAATAAATAAATAAATAAAATGTCCTTTACTTGTTTGCAAAGTTGAAAAATAGAGTACTTCACACAAAATTTCCTACTTCCCACTTCTTTGGAACTGTGACCTCAGATCTCCACAACCTCCCAGGGTGATCATAGGCTATAAGATGCGATGGGGGGGCTTTCCAGCTTGCTGAAGTCCCCACCCTGCCCTATTGTCTCTCAGTTGAAGAGATCAAGGTCTAGTTGAGATTTATCATTGAGCCTGTGTCAGGGGCTCTTTATAGTAGAATGAAGAGAAAGATGAAATGTCTGTTGAAAATGAGGAAATTCAGATAAGCTGTGGGTTTGGTTAATTATTTTACCTGGTTGGCCCAGGGGCCATTGAGTTCAAGACCCCCTCCCCACTCTTCACTCCCACTGCCTCTTCTCTAGATTAACAACTCTGTGCCCCAGAGTGAGGCCAAACCCCAGGATCTGGATGGAGATGGACAGCTCCCTGGGCCTCCCCTCCTCAGAGGGGGGCTGCGCATGTGTCTGGCGAGTGTTCCATCCTTCACATCAGATTAGGGTCCCCTGGGCCCCAACTCTGAGCTTCCTGCTGAATTGAGGCAGGAGAGGCTGTAATTACATCTCCCTCCTGCCTCCCACTTCTCAGCTGGTTGCATCATGTCTGTGGGAGCCCCGGGGGAAACAGGGGACAGAGAGCCAAGGATGAGCTGGGGGTGGGGTGGGAGGGATGCTGGGACAGAAGTTGCCGGAAGGATTCTGGAATTTCTCCAGTCTAGCATCCTTGCATCTCAGAGCCCGAAATGCAAAGGAATCTATAATCCTAGGACCCTGGAGGGCTGGAGTTCCAGAGTCTCAATCCTGTGGGGCCAGGATCCTGGGGTCTTGCCCCTGTCCGGCACTTCAGAACTATAAGGATTTCTTGAACCTAGACTGTTGGGATGTAACCTTCTCAGCACTGGGGTCTTGGAGCTTCCTCTTTGGAATTCCTGGTCTTGGGAAAGGGAAGCCGATGGGGAGCAAGTGGGGCTGGCTGACCCCGGTGGGGAAGGCAGGAGGTGCCTGCCTGGAGCAGGGGGAGAGAGAGGAGGGGAGGCGGGCGAGTCTGGACCCAGAGGCCAGTCAGGACTGAGGCTGGGAGGGGGAAGCCAGAGGGACAGGATAGCTCCCTGGTGACCAGCCTGCATGCGTGCAAACCCAGATAATCTTGTCAGCTGGGTATTGTCTGTACATCAGCAGCTTCTGGTCACAGCCACCCTTTCCTGCCACTCCCAGCTGTGAGGTCAGCTCTGGGGCCAAGGGGCAGAGAGGTGACTGCCTAGGGAAGTACTTTCTCTAGGAAGTACCCTCTCAGTCATTCCAAACCCTGAGGGCTACTGGCTGCCCCTCCCAGGCTGTCTTTCCTCCCGCCCCGCACAAACCGCACGTGCAAAAAGCAGTGCTGGGCCAGCTGCGGGGCTCGGGGAGCTGTAGCCTAGCCAGAGGAGCCACAGTGGTGACCCTCGCCTCCTGGGCATCCTGGAGCCCTGTCTCACTCAGCAATTCTCCTATAGCTCCCAAAGGGACTCAGTCCAGCCTTATTGTACAGCCACAGCCTACAGGCCCCAAGCGATGTCACCTGGCCAGGTGGGACTTGAGGTTGGAGTGGGACCTGGATGCACTCAGGAGGGGTGGGAGGAGTTGTGGGGAAGCCCGAAAAATAGAAGGGAGAGTATCCCTGGTGAGGGGCACACAGCCCAGGTACAGGCAGGGCAGGGACACAGAGCAGAAGCCCCTGGAGCCAGGGCAAGAAGCAGATGGATACAGAAGGACCCATTTGGGGTGGAGAAAAGGGTGGTAGGCAGAGAAAAGAACCTCTGGCTGTAGGTGCTGGGACCTGCCGAGGAGGGACAGGTCAGGATGGACACACAGCAGCTTTTTTTTCAAATGTGTTTTTATTGATTTCAGAGAGAGGGAAGGAGAGGGAGAGAGAGAAACATCAATGAGGGGGTCATTGATCCGCTGCCTCCTGCACGCCCCCTGCTGGGGATCGAGCCCTAAACCTGGGCATGCGCCCTGACTGGAATCGACCCGTGACCTCCTGGTTCACAGGTTGACGCTCAACCACTGAGCAACACTGGCCGGGCCACACAGCAGCTTTTCACAGCAGCGAGAGGGCACAGTCAGATGGAGGACGGAAACAAGGGGGTCAGGAGGGGTGGGGCCCAGAGGGAGCCTCAGCAGCAGCACATCCAGAGCTGGACTGGGTAGGGCAGCGGAGGCTCAGAAGCTCCAGCCAGCAGGCGCCCGAGAGGCCCACTGCGGCCACACTTCCTGGCCTGCTTGGCACTCAGCCCCTCGAGGACACCCATCCAGATGTGCGTCCCAGCTGGGTGTGAAGTGACTCAGCTGAGGGCCTGCCAGCCCAGGCTCCAGCTCAGCCCTTCCTCTCCTGTCACTGTTGCACGCTATTGGGAACAGGTCCCCATCAGATGGTGTCCTCTGAGCCTCTCCACACCTCAGCCCTTGGGGCACAGTAAGCAGGCTAGGGTTTGTTGAGTGAATAGTAACCCCAGCAGCTACTGGGGGCCTTCCTGGAGGCAGGGAAGGTGGATTCCATCTCCAATCTTCACACAACGGCCCGACAGGGGCAAGGCAGCCATCTGATGAAGGCAACAAGTCTCAGCTGGGGAAGTCATTTTCCAGCATCACGCAGTGACTGGGAGTGGTGGAGGTGAGCTTCTAAACCCACTCCTTTCCCCTGCACCGTGTGCATGCAAACACACACACACACACACACACACACACACACACACACACACACGAGACAGCCATAAAGAAATGCATGAGCCTGCAATAAAGACACAGACACACAGGTGCACAAACAGGCCTTAGAGTAAAGGATGGCTATCCACACATGCCATCCTCATATTCGAGGTCCCTGCCACACCCCTCCGGGCGTCTCCCTCCCCTCCCCCTGCTGCGTGTCCATTTCCAGTTGCCCTCCTCCGTCTGCCTGCTGTCCCCCTGCTCTGGGTCCCTGGGGGAAGCCCCTGCTCCTAGCAGTGGGTGGGGGGTGAGGAGAGCTGCTGACTCACCCACCCACCAGTTCCTTCCCACAGGCCGGCCCCTCCCTGCTCCGGAAATCATCCCCTCTCCACACCCCTACCCAGCCTGAAGAGTGACCTCTCACCCCAAGGCACCTGGAAGAAAGAGGAACCTTTGTTAACTGCTATGGGCGGACCTGGGGGGGGAGGCACAGCTGGGGAGGAGGTCCCGGGTCCCCAGAAGGTATGTCCGGCACTGGCAGGGACTCCAGGGAACCTTAGTTCTCTCACTAGGAATGAGTTCTAGTCATTGCTACCCTTACCTGCTTCCCAAGCACAGAATTGAGGCCAAGGTTGTAAACCTCCCCCCTTGGCACAGATGGGGAAACTGAGGCCTGGAGGAGGGCAGGGGCCTGTCTGAGGACCCACTGGGAACAGAGTGGAGCTCCCGAGTGCTCAGTGGTCCCTGGTGGGGACAGGAAGCCAGTGAGAGGGAGGCTCCAGGAACCAGAACTCCCCCACCCTGCAGCTCCCTAGATGCAGAGGCCTGACGCTGGCCTGCCAGGCATGATCCTTCATTAATATGATATAGCTTCCTGAGTTCCCTCTGGCCTGCCTGGCGACTGCAGGGCATAAGCGGGGAGGGGCCACACAGCTGGGAGTCTGGGGCCCAACACACAGACACTCCAAGAACAGTGCTGTGTGGTCACTCTTGCAGGCCCCAGTGAGGCTAGAGTTGGGGCATCCATCCTGCTGAAAGCTGGGGCTGCCAGCTGGGCATGGTGATAAGGAGCTGGGCGAGGGTGTTGTGGTTACCGGAGGACATGGGAACATAGGGGAAGTCTGCAGCCCTTGGGGCCAGGAGCGTGGCTCCTGGCCTTGGGTGGACACATCTGCACAGGCTCCTCCTTACAGAGTTCTCTGGGAGGGGCTGCTGGCCAAGGTCAGCCTCGAGGCCCAGGAAGCTGCTGTTACCCCCTTGTACAGATGAGCAAACTGAGATACACCAAACTAAGGTAAACCAGCTTCCCGTCCTTGCCTAAGACCATCACAAAGCAAGGAAGTGGTCGAATTGGGACAGAAACTCAAGATAAATGGAGTGAGACACTGAGTTTGTCATTTCTACCCCGAAGCTGCCTCCCTGAAAGATAAAGGGTGTCTGAGAGGGTCTCCCAGTTCCCATTGGGCCCTACGGGACCAACGAGCTCAGTGGGAACAGGGCAGGTGACTGCTGTGCTGGCAGCTGGGACACATGGCAGTTTGTAGAGGGTAGGAGAGATCCATGTGACCTCCTGGATGTTGGAGCCCTGGACGGCTGCCTGTGGCTCAAGTATTATTCCTGGAGGTCAAGGTCGCCAGAGCTTGGCCTGGGGCCTGGGATGCTGAGGTGAGAAGCAGGAGGGCAGGGTGCTTTCGAAAGCTCTCTGAGGCCTTGGCACAGGTGAGGAAACTGAGGCCTGGAGGAGGGCAGGGGCTTGTCTGAGGTCCCACTGAGCACGGGAACAGAGTGGGCATGGGGCTCTGCAGTTCAGCGTGCGAGAGCGAGCCTGACGACGGGCTCTGGTCCAGCCACCTCATTCCCCAGCCTTCTGGAAGGAGCGAATTGTGTCCAGGGAACAGAGACCTCAATGGTGCCTGGAAAACACTGCATCGGGGAGGAATTTCCTGGTCATTTCTCAATCCCTGGGCAGTGTCCTAACCCTGGAGCCCTGAGCCCAGAATAGCTCCCAGGGGCCACCCCCAGACAGCCTTGTGGACGGGCCAGTTGTGCTCTGCAAGGCCTGTTCTGGTCCCGACTGGTGAGTCCAAACTCCATGTGTCATGACTTAGTGACTCCCAACCTGGGGCCACTGGGAGATGCTGGGGAAGGGAGGGGGGCAGAAACCTGTGTGTGGGGAAGTGGCAGGTGGCTCAGTGATGGGGACTGTGAGAAGACACAAGGAGGGGAGGCAGGGAGGGAGATGGACGTACTGGGCTGAGGGGATGAAGGGAGAGTGCCAGGGAAGGAGGGAGGGAGCAGAGGGGGCCTCTGGAGAAAGCAGGGGAAGGGAAGGCGGGGCAGAGAGAGGAAATGAAAAAGCTGGGGCGAGCAAGCTAGATGAGGAGGGAGGGA